GGAAAGAGACGTATCTATATGCTGGTGTGTTCTGCAGAACTTGTTTTGGCAGAGTCCAAATACAATACTTAAGGCCAAATAAGAAGCTTATCAGGCTTCTTGCTCCTAACCATTTTCAAAAGCAGTAGAAAATTAATCCTACTCCTGAGGCTGAACCACAGAAATTTATGGAGAAATAATTTACTTTGTAAAGCATTACTGGGCCTCCTGTGACATGATACACAAGTGAAACAGCTGCAAATAAAAACATTTCCTGTATTTTTCATTCTTTGAAAAAATGCTGCTATTTCAGGTTCCATCTAAGTTTTAAGCCTTTCATTTTGATCTCTTTTTTCACATAAAACAGAGAATGATTTGGTTCTACAGCATTCACCACTTTTGTTTACTCTTGGCCCAGGAAAAGAGATCTTTCCACATTCAGGTACCTCAGAGGAGCTACAGAATTTTGCAGGGCCAGGAAAGGCGGCAGCTAAACTGTGAAAAAAGGTAGTAGTCTGGCAACTTGTCTTAAAAAGTTCTTGGGTTTCCATGCAATTTAGCTGATGTTCCCTCCTCTTTCCTCAAGACAACAGAGTTCCAGACTTGCACCAAGGTCTTGCAGAGAAGGCATATGAAGACAAAAGGGGCTGATCTTCACACAGCTTTAGCCTTTTGAATGTATTTCCACTGTCCAGCCACATATCTTACTATATTTACAAATAATTTCATTTGAAATGCTAACTTTTTGTTGGAATTATTGAATATCATGCAAGTTTGATTTATGTGTATTTTGATGGATTTCTGTTCCATAATTTTACTGGCCTTGCCATGAGCCTATGTATATTTTTAGCTTCAGTAACAACGCGAGGTGAGGAGTTCCACAGCTCAATTCTCCTTCCATAGAAATGGCTTTGAATATGTAACCTGATAGCATCATGTAATTTGCCGTATTTCCTGCATTAGAAAAGTCAGTGGTTGATCACTTCTAAAGATGTTTCTTCTCTTAGATAGGGCGAGTTGCAGATCTTAATTTATAGGTGCAGGTGGCACATGTTTGCTTCATTTCCAGCAATTTCAATAACATTTATCTCAAGTCCCTGCTGTCATCAAGTATAAGCAAGCAGAAGTTTAGTGATGTTGTCCTTTCCTCTTCCTTTTCTTAGAGACATGCAATTGTGAACTCCATAAATTAAAAGAAGCAAGGTGATATACTAGGGAAAACACTGGACTGCCATGCAGAAAACTGATTCTTCTTCATGCTTCTGTTGAATGGTCTTAGGCCAACTACATCCTGCCTTTGATTGCCCAACCAATAATGATACCGGAATCCTTTGTAAAGCACCTTTAAATCCATGGATGAAGAGACGTATGTAAGAGGCAGGTGGTACTGCTACATGAATTCAAAAACATGTATCTTTCCTTTTTTGAGGTAGGTTGGGCCTGAGGAATACAAACTGTTAAGATCAAAGATGTGAAGAAGGAACAATCATGTATTGGTACCATCAAAGAAATCTCAGTGGATATTAGGATATAGAGAGCTCTTGAAAGCTGATCAGAACTCTTCCCCAAAGAAAGGGAGGGCCTGCAGCTTGGTGTTATTTCAGAAAGAACCGAGACTCCTGGAACGACTAGTGAAAAAAGCACACACTGGAAATAACTTTATTGTATTAAATCTCTTAAGTACAATTAAATGCATTGCACAGAATATACTCCTACTGAAACGCAAATACAGTTTTTCCCAGAGTTATTACTCTAAATTGAATTGTTTGTCTTCATTTTCTCATTTTTCTTTTTTTCTCAACATAAAGAGAGCATATCATTTTATTCAGCATATATAATAAAGCTGGGATTTAAAAAGAAGTTACAAGAAATAAGGTATTCAAAATCCTAATGAAATTCCCAGTTCTACTGTTCTGACTGGTACAAGCAGGAGTTACTTGGCTGTTTTCTGTACTCACTGAACGGTACAGACCTGAATTGGTCATATCAAAAACATCCAGTCTCTTAAAAGCTTGCACTGGTGTTCATTGCTAATGCACATAAAGAAAAATTATTTTTTACTTTGCATTTATTTGCAGCAATTTTTCTCTAATTAATTCCTCTTGTTCAACAATTAATTGGTTCACAGTTTCTACTTATGTATTGAACATGCCTACTGATAGTTCTTTATGTGAAGAGGAAAGAAATCAGGAAACAGCACACTTATTTTAGTTACACTTTGCAAACATACGTCTTGGCAATATCATGCAGCGTGCTTCATAAGAGAACTATACTCTTCTACCAGTTTCTTCTTCTCATTTAATTTTTCCAGAATGGCATCCATTAAATATGAGGCAAAAGGAAACTGAAAAGGAAACACAATAAGAAAAATGATCATTGAATTTTATTTTCTTCAGGTGAAAACCATATATTAAGTATCTTTAAGCCTTTAGATTTCACTTATTTCTGACAACTACCACACATGCACACATCTGATCTTTAAAGCTGATCTGCCTGGCTGGTGTCTGAAACTTTGCTCTCTATCATGAAAATGATAAAAGAACAGAGTAAAATGAAAAAAGATAAACATCTTATTGAACAATTCATGGTTTACTGACCATGTTAATGATGTAAACTGCAGTACCAGCATCTCTGTCATTTATCTCCAATCAGCTGATCAATATGAGGTTACAGTCATCTCTATAGCATGCAGAAATGGTAGTGTACCTGCATTCACTGCTCTCAGGAGGGTAAGAACTACCAGTGCAGCTCTCTATGTTGTAGCGACTGCCTTAGACTAAACTTGCAAACGAAAAAAAAAAACCATGACGGCAAAATTTGTATTTGCATGCTTACAGAGAAAAGCGTAAACCTCTCAAACCTCCTTATAACCTGAGTCTTCAAAGGAAGAGATGCGATACATCATTGTTTGCCATTGCTTTAATATTTAAACCAGGTTTTGTTACACAGTTTTGGTGTATGAGCGCACTGATATTGGAACGTGCTTTTAGAGATGCCACGAAAAACACTTTATCGTTATTCCGCCGAGAGTGGATAGCATGGTGCCAGAGGGGAACCCAATAGTTTTAGTTCACTACTGGGGAGTCTCTGCCAGCTGCAAAGAGTGTTGCCAGCTCTCTTGATCTCCTAGTGAAACCAGTGGTGACAAAGGGCTCAGTTCCACTATAAAAGCAACAGCTGCAGTTTTTACCAGAAGGAGAGATAATTTGACCCTAATAAGGCCACCAGAAATAAATCCAGTAAAATATATCAATTAGTGGAGCAGGCAAATCACAAGTTTTCTCTGGTTTCCACAACCGTAGTTCAAGGCAATGCTTCTGTATGTAGAACTGATTTTATTTTTTCACTTCTCTTTTCCACCGTAAAGAAAAATCTATATGATTCTTGTATTGGACAGAGTACTGCCTACTTTCTATACACACAAAACCAAAGTTATGAAAATAGATTAAAAAAAGATGTAAAAGTACACCAAATACAAATGCTGGCATAATGTTAGAACTGATATACAGATATAAATCTATATATGGATATTTATAATTATTAATGAGCCAGGAAATAAAATCTTAAATGACAGTAAGGAAAATCCTTTTAATACTGAGCACCTATCATAGATTGACTATAACGGGACATAAGGCAATGCTGCATTCTGCTCAACAGTCACTTTTTAGTTATGGAAAAGTGTTGATAATATGCATTATTACTTGTCTCTGCAGGAAGGGGGTTTTGGAAGGGCTGGCACTTGGTGGGCTGCCATATCTCCATCTGTCAAATACACCTTTTTGTCTACGGTAAGAATTTTCTGAACTAGTCAATTACACCTGTCAGCCTTCTCCTGCATGCTATTGTGCTTTCAGGGAACAGAGGTATCAACTTACTGAGTGCAAATCTATTCATAGTAATTTAAGATATAATCTTATTCTGTGACACTTACTCGCTACCACGTTGTAAAAACACTGACCCCAGCATCCTGTTCAATCTAATTGTTCTCCCTCATTGCCTACATCTGTTTTTTACAAGAACACTTTAATACTATTTCAAAGTCTCTAATTCTTCTTTCCTAGCTTGACTACATTCATTTTGATACATTTTACCTACTTAATGTTCTGCCCGAGATAAATGTTTCTTATTGATGTCTCTCATTCATATCATTCTGGCTACATTCTACTTGCTGTTCACTATTCTCTGTGGCTTGCATGTCATAGCAAAGCGATCTTTAAAAAAGTCTTTCCATTTAAATCATTCATTTATATCAAGAGCATTGGAAAGTTGAATGTTATGTCACTATTTCACATTTGACGGTTTCAGAGAAAGTGCTGTCTATTTTTGTCTGGTTTTCTTTACTGACACCCAGAACTGGATGATATCCACAGTCTTCATCTTTAATAGAAACCTGTCAGATGTACTTTTAATGACGGCTCTGTAACTATCCTGGGACGATTCCTGTTGCTTTTCTGCTCAGGACTTCACCAAGACTGAAGATGTCTCTCCTCCGAAGCATTCATCCCTGGCTCCAAGCCTGCCATATGCTTGGGAAGGCTCTGGGAGTTCAGCGAGTGCTAAGCACACACCGAAGCAGCAAAATGCTTGTTTATACCACTGATAATTATGTATTTTAATACAGAACAGTATTTCCTTCAAGCGGTTTCCATTAACCTGGGCCACAACCAATTCATCTGAACACTAAGCATTAACAATGATAGCAGTCCTAAATCAGTACATTATGACAAGTTTTAAGAGAAGTAATATTTAATTGATTTGCATAAATTCAGACAACTTGAGAAAACGAAAGAAATCTGGATTTAAAGATTTTTACATATTTTTTGTTTGTTTGTTTTACCTTTACCAGAATTACAGATTTCTGCTTTGGTACTAAAAAGCATAAGGATGGAATACTGGAATATTTCTTACACATCTTATCAATACAGATAGGTATCTTGGTGTATGGATAACTGGAAGGTTATACGGTCTGAGGCAGCCAGGTATTCTGTTGATTATGTTTATTTCTCTCACAGATTTATTCTGACCTTGAGTATGCATCTTTCAGAGATCCTTTCTGTAAAAACTAAACTAGTAATATTAATCAACCTTACCAAATCTCACTCAGCACACATGTGCATAAACACATAGCTTCTCATGTGCCAGTGAAAAGACTCATAATGAATGCAAGGGAATGTTCCTGTTATTCTAATGAGACATGGCATCCCCATCCATGGAGTGCTATATACTCAGACTCTGCTCCACAGACTCATTTATAAATAATAAACGTAAAACCAAAAGTATTTAACTTCTGGAATACACAAATTAGCGGTTACACCTAATATAAATATCCCTATAGAGATCAGCAGTAGAACACTTTTTGCATGACAAAACTATCCAAACAAACGTCAGAACCTGAAACGGAGTTAAGCGAACCACAGAGAATAATCTGAAACAAAACTAAAGAAACTCTCATTTAAAATGATCAAAAGCACTGATTTTCACTGTAGACTACAGTCAAAGTTTTACAAAACTAGCAAACTATAGAGCAATTCTCCATTTCGTTGTTATTCTTTGTCCATTCCACTTTGTGATGGCTGTAAACACATATGTGAGTATACAAATATATATATGTGTGTGCGTGTGCAGGTGTGTACGTATTCCTACCCTGAGCAGTCAAGCCAATTTCTCCTTTTACTCAGACTATGACAAACGATGCAATGTGTTTCCATATCTGTGCATCAAATAAAACACAGATTTATACCACTATGAGTTGTCAATGTCCAAAATGGGAGTTTTTATCCTTGCAACGACAACAAAATCCTTGTTACTACCTGACATTTGGTAGCAATATTAATGGCATCTGGGATCTGGCTCACACTGCACCGGTGCCACTTTTTAACGTGATGGTGACAGTGGTGAGCGCATGTGCGTGTCTGTGCGCGGGTGAGCATGCGCGAGCACGTGTGAGAAGGACACAGACAACGAACAGAGACTTGTTCAAAGAAAAGGGGAGGTAAGAGGCGGGCTGGAGAGACACTATCTGAAGGAAGGCAGGTGAGTCCTAACCTGGGAAATCTGAAACGAAACCACCGTGGCTGTTAATGTACATTCCCAGATGAGACCAGAGGAAATCCATATTTAGAAGCCAGTGTAAATCCTAAAAAGGAGTTGTGGAAAATCCTTAGTGATGAAGACTGAATATACTATTTCAAACCCATGTTCTGGAGACGGATTATATACCTACTCACAGAGAGCCTGGAGAACAGGGGAGGGATTTTTTTCTTTATGTTTTCACCACTGGAATATGATTTGTATATTAATAAGGAGGCCATGAGAGGAAAGGCTTTATTAGGCAGCTTTGTTTATGTGAGATGTGATATCCCTAGGAGTACATGAGGAGGGAGGGAAGACAAGTGCTGCTGTGTATCTGATAAAGAGATGCTGAATCAATGCTGTCATTTGGTACAATGCTTGGTAGAGTTAGGCAGATGATTTGTATTTTATTAAAAAATAGATCTCAGTGACTGCAAGGCAGTAATCTGGATTGGGGCCAACATGCTGTACTCAGACACAAAATTATTAACTGACTGTTCAGAGACAGCATTCCTATAGTCAGTCACAATGAATGAAGGTCTTGGGTGGTACAAGATATCCTCTGCAAGCTAAGTGAAAAGAAGTCATCATCTTGATTTGGCTACATGAGGCCTCTTACAATGAGAGAAAGTTAGAGAAAGGTTTCTGATGACTATAAAAAGACAGTGTTACTATATTGAGCCTGGTTCAAATAATAAGACATGCACACCCAGGAGATGTATGGGAGGGAGCAGCTAGAAACCTCATTCCACATCTTGCAAGCTGTAAACACACCTACATATTGCGATAAACGTTCTTGTGCCCTCCTTCCCCAAATACCATGAAATCCTGAGAACCTGATGGCCGATGGTGTGATACATCTGCCAGCTTCTCTCTCCCAAGCCCAGTCACTAACCCATAATCAGACTGATGTCTCTATGCAGGGAACAAGATACCGCTACGCAGAGACATAAGGCAGGTATCCACACGCAGCGCTGTGAAGTCTCTCCAAGAACAGGCTCTTCGTAGGCAAGAAAAGATCTTACCTTTTATCCTAATGTAAGTTATTCAGATGTCTCATATTTATGCTGTAGTGACACTACTTTCCTCATTGGGTGCTAGGGCATGAATACAAAAGGCAACTGCAAAAAAAACCTGTTGGCCATTTGAGATGTTGGTTTAGACAGTAAGTAATTTTTACCAGCTTTGCAGAATTCAGAACCTGACTGTACTTTCAGACTGAAAGATTCTTATCTACATAGTAACATCCTAAATCAGAGATGCCTTTATCTGATTTTAAGTTTCTCAGCCCTCACAGTTTCTATCACGTGTTGACCAAATAAAGACCTAAATTCTGACTGGAGTCTGTGAACCTCATGAGTGCAAAAAATATTAATCACTGAAATATTAATATTTTTGTAAAGCTGACAGAAATTAGACACTTTCATGTCATAAGAGTACAGATAATAAAGGTATAGATGAAGTGTAAAACAGAGGTGTGCTATAGTTTATGATAACACTCTAGGGGAATCTATAAAATGACAGTAAAAAGCAACTAGTGCTTCCCTCAGTCGCCCCAAAATTCTAATGCAGCAGTAAAATGGCGTATGTCAGTAATAAAAATAAAATGTCTATGACATTTTAAATGTTATCGTACTGTCAACAGAGGAATAAAATTAGGTTGAAGAATGATCTAAAGGGATATGATGCAGTTCATTATGTATAACAGCAACAGCAGCAGTTTCCCAGTGTTCATAAAGGTTTCTCCATTAAATTTACCTCCAGTCAATAATTAGGAGTCCACAAATAAACCTAGGCAATTAAATCAATACTGCTGGGCAATTATGTTCCAAAGTCCTGGCTCAATGGCACAAAAAGATACTATATCAAACTGTAACATTAAGTGATCTGATGCAATTTTCAGCTGAACATTTTCTCAGAATAATGGAAAACAGTAAGCCTGCATCTTTGCTCAAGGTACAAATGTGTACAGAGTTTGCCAACCTGTATCACTAAGTTAACAGCCTGTTTTGAGCAAAGTCCTAACAAAAAACTTGCATTTCCTAATACGCTTTAGTTTTCTGATCAGAAATATTACAAATTACTAAAGGAACCTACGGTCAACTTTTGTACAAGACCCAGGTCAAGCATTTTAAAGGGCACAGAAATCTTCCATGAGCTCCTCCCAAACAGAGCCCAAGAAATCACAGAAATTTCCATCCACATGATTTAGCATGGACAGAAGCGGAAAGCACAGCTGGGTGCTCCTCAGAAGAACTAATCCCCTTGTGATTCTAAAGATGGTCGGCTTCCCAAGCGTTACCTTTACTCTTACAGCTTTCACTGTCTCTCTGTATAAGATGAAGAGGAATGATAACATTCTGCCTAGGATTTTTTAATGATCTGCCCAAGAACAAGAAAAGAATAAGAATTTTTAATCATATCCTGTGAATCTGATTCTTCTTTCGGAGTCTGTAGTATGTACCGAATCTCACAATTAATACTGATGTTTTAAAATTTCTTAAAATGAAGGAAATTTAGTGAATAGAAATGTTTGTTTTTATTGCTGCGTTGTGTGTAGCACTAGGAGATATTTAAATTTAAAATATAGTGTTTCTGAGAAAGCCAATAAAAGCAAACAGATATTTCCATCTCTTCTACTGCAGCAATTAAGGAGTCCTCATGGTAGTAAGTTTTGACAATGAAAGAGGGAAAAAGTGTCATTATTTTAAAATCTGGTCATAGTACACAATCTAGACACAGGAGCTATTAAGGATAAAATATTTCAATCTGAAAGTGACTGTTCCCTCGAAATGGCTTTCAAAATATTTTCAATCATTCACATTCTTAATAGAAACGAGCTACATAGCTAAGGACCCATGCTACTGACTATGCATTAGGAATTTGATTTATGAATTTGATTCATGAAATCAAATTTTATTTCATTTCAGATATCAGCTACACATAATCTGAATAAAGGAGACAACCAAAACATAACGGAAAAGTTTCAAGAGTCAATGTATGTTGTCAGTGATGTCCAGACAAAAGCTGACTGTGGCTAGAAAAGCAGGGCTCTCACCTGCCAATAAACTGCCCTTGATCACTTACAAGAGGGGAGCATCCCAACAGACCATGTGTGTATTAAAAAAAAGACTTGAAAGAGAAGAAAAAGTATCACACAGGTCACAGCGGCAGTCTGAATGGACCCCTCAGGGAGTTCCGCTAGTCTCAGCCTTGTCATCCTCTATGCAGCTTTCCTCTCTGCCCAGAAAATGTCGATAGGAAAATGTTTGAGGGGCCTCTGGTGGAAATTTTTTCATTCTTTCTGCATTGACAGGATGCCAAATCAATATTTACTTCCCACTAACAAGCTGCTCGAGGTCTCAGTAGAAAATATTGTAGAGAATGCGGGAAGACACGATAATAAACAGCTGTCTGGCTATGAGGAAAACATGAATTGACTGGAAACAGGTCCACAGTAAAAGGTCACTGAAACCCATGAACTCCTCAGGTGTCCATATCAACTACTAACTTTAAAGGCACATAATAAAAAAATCTCTTTTTCCTAAGAGGTATGAGAGAATGGATCCTTTTCACTCTAGCAAGCATCACAGACTGTCTCAATAATTTAATTAACACATTTGCCAAGATCTGTGCTGGTTTTCTCCAGATATTGTTTTCAGCTGTTAAGTTAGCTACCACAAATCCTAGGTTAACATCTCTTCAGTCTTGTCCAGTGACTCTTATTTTAAGAGAAAAAAAGAAATGCTACAAAAGAAGGATCTGAGTTGCTTTATCACTGTATGGTTTAGGATCATCAATGGCAGTATAACTACAAAGGCAATGGATTAATTATGACCTAAAAACACTTAGCTATTCAGATTAGAAAGTTATAATTCATTAAGGGAAGATATAAATTTAGCACCTGTGCTTCAAGAAGCTTCTGTATATAGTGCAGCCATTCTTTATCTTTTTCAGATTCCATCTTTGTCTTTGCTGTTTCCTAAAAATAGGAAAATATAACAGATACAGTATTTTGACACCCTCCGATAAGAACATGACGAACAATAAAGGACACATGTAACTGGATGTATATTAAGCAAACAGCATGTGGAATTGGGGACTATGTTTGGAAAATTAAATCATAACTACAAAATGAGAGAGCTCTGTTAAATTTACAGACCTATCCTCAGTGACAATTTTACAAGTTCAACTTAAAGGTTCCTGAGTCTACACACTGACAAATGGAATATGTATCTAAAATCTGTGTACTGCAAATTCATCAACTGTATATTACATTTGTTTTCTGTTTATAGTTGACTATGTGCGCGTTTTACACACACATTCACAACTCTGATTACAAGACACAGGATATAGAAATTACTTTGACAATAACGTAAGTATAGAAAAATACTGCCACAGCCAATCACTTTAAACGGGTCTGTAAGTGCTGGCAAACAGGGCAGGGGTCAGACCATAATGTTCATACTCATGAATGTAGTCTACACTGTGCATATAAATGTACAATGCATCTTCATGTAGCAATTGTGAAAACTCCCTTTTGTGATTTCTGCAATATAGAACTAAATTTTAAGGTGTCACCAGAGGACTGTTGCTAACCAGTAATGGTCAACTCCTAGACGCTCTTATTAAACAAAAAGTGCATAGCCTTTTCCATGCACTATTTGATCAGGCTTTTAAATCCTGTAACTATATTTATTTAATAGACAGTGATTCGATGAAACAGTATCAAATACTTCACAGTAAAATGGACGATAGGATCAACAAGAAAAGCAACGAGCTCCCCCAGAAACCATCTGTCAGCTACAAATACCTTTAATAGGTATCACAACTCAAGAAAGTAAGCATCAACAGAATCAATCTGGCACAGCAAGATACATTCTAATGTTGTTTTCATTAATACAAAAGTCTATTTGAAATGTGTAATCCTATCAAATGGTGTCATAAAAAAGGAAATTATTAAGAATTTTTAAATAACGGCTCTGTATCTACATGCTCAAATCAGCTTATTTATATTTTATTTATGCATATCCGAAGGCTTAACCCCTTAGTAGTCGCTAATCTGTCCTTTCTATTTAAACCAGACTGTTCTACTCTCTTTGTGGCGGATGGTGTACAATCAGTTTCCAATCTTTAACTGGCAATTCTTTGCCTCAAGAGCAGAAATTGACACCACCTTCTGTTCTGGCCCCTTTTTACTAGAACCCTTAAAATAAATTACCTCATCATCTTCTACTTCTAGTATCTCCTCAAGATCAGTTTTTGAAACATTAAGGATAGATGCTGCCAAGGACTGGGCTCGCTGAACGCACTCTTGGGAAAGACCTTTTTTGCGTGTTCTCACTTCTCCCATTCTTTTTTCCTGTTTGATTTTTGTTCTCAGCTCTTGTATGCTGTGCTGTAACTCTCTGGTTAGAGCCTGGAAGAGGCAAACAGAAAATACTTATTGTAATTTTCTTAAAGTGCAAACACTGTGCAAAAAATAGTATCATTTCGACTAAGCTCCTTAAGGTAGGAACTGTCTTCATTCACATTATCAGTTGAATACGACACATTCTGTAACACAAAATAGCACACTATTCAGAAAATAAAGTATGAATTAATCCCATCTGGATTACATCCATTAAAAGATATAATGTTGTGAAATATTTGTGCAAATATCTTTCCATATGCTTTTAACAAAATGACCATTTTCATAACGCCATCATTAATAAAAGAGAGCAGCTTCCACAGAATCAATTACAAATTTTTTCCTGATTCGGCCCGCCAAAATGTTCTTGAAATAACTTCAGAAGTGTCAGGGCTTACTGTATTCAGAGATCCTTTTTAAGGCTATTTGTACCTCAGTGCATGAAGAAACATCAGTATAACTCTTCAAAACTGTTCCAAACTGGAAATTTTGGTTCTGATTAACAAAAGATAGTTCAAATTTTCCTGACTAGCGATTCTTTCCTATATCCTTTCTACAGTCTAAGTCATCACAGTAGTGGTGATAAACAACCTACGCTTACAGCACACTAGTCCACTATATTATTATTATTCAAGGCTGAGATAGGCACTGTTTTATTTTATATGCAGCTGGCCCATACACAAGGCCTAGCCAAGCCAGGCAGTTTCTTTGCTGGGGTGCTGTTAGCCTATTAAGTAAATGTTTTAAACAGATACAAGTGCAGGCTGCTAGAGAGGAACAGGTGCCAAAGAAGAACCACTATAGCAATGCATCCTTAACCACGGCTTGGAAAAGGTCTGAAGGCCACAGGTACCAAGAGAAGCCTCAATTTTATCTCCCATTTCTGCTACTGAAGACCTTTAATTGGCTTTAAGGAAAAACAAGCGCCTGACAGGAGGTTTGATGCTGCTAATGCTTCATTAATAGCATTACTTTTATTTTCATTACTACCATTGCTATTCACTAATAATAATAGTAGTAATAACAATAATAAAAGAAATTTTTCCTGTTGTCATTTCTGTAAGGTGGTATACACTCCTAGGCCAGAAAGATTCTCACAGCTTAAAGAAACAAGAAAAATGGGAGAACGTGGTTAAGAGAAAATTTACTGGTACAGTCTGAAAAGCACAGCTGTTTTAAGGGTTTAAGTGGTAAGTAAGAAGAATAGTTATGTGAGGTGGTAAAAAGGGACTACTGGGATTTAGGAACCATAACAAAAGAACTAGGAAAAGCTAAAAATGGAAAGATCATCAGACAAAAAATAATACTGATAATGAAAGGGAGACAACAAAGCCAACAGACGGAGACCACTCTTCTTAGTTTATTTAAAACTAAAATTGAAGAAACAGTAGGAAACAGCCTGTAGAAAATACCTTGTTAACCTGAATAACCTAAGAGATCCTCTCCAAAAAGCTGAATGGAATCCAAGCAGGATTTCTGGTTTTGTTCCCCAATGCGACACAAGTACTGAATAGTATCTTCCATAGCTGAACCTGAGCCAAACTGTGTAACAAAAATGTTGAAGGTTCAAGTGCCTAATTCTCCCATATCCAAAATTCTCCGGTTCAGTTAAATGTTTGCATAACTAAGGTTATTTTGTTTTAAAATATTTGTGCAAGTTCGACACAAACATTCTGTAAAAGCACAGTGAGATGATATCATTTAAATATTGTTGGTTAGAGAGATAAGAGCAGTAACTCAATGTCAGAAGATCCTTCTAGTATATTCAACTTGCCTGAGTCAGGCAGAACTGCAGTTGTCAAGACAGACACCTTGGCTAAGTTTAAAATGGGAGAATGAAATTTTCTTTCGACCGTCATATGTAGGGCTCATTTTATTAAACAATCTCTCATCAGTAGTTGATAAAATTCCTGAAAAGTCTTTTGCTGCACCCTGCCTTCATCTCATAGAAACTGACTGCAGAATTATGAAGCCTGTTTATTGGCATTTAGGGTAAAGTACTTTATGGCCTCTAGTGCATTCAAAACACAGTCATTAGAGAGCATTTGCTGACATATTTCAAAAAAACCAAAACACATTCATCTGATTCTAGGATCTACTTATTTTTATACGACTTTTCCAACTTAATATTTTTCTATATTTAGCTAAAAATTAAATATTAGAAAAAAAATTACTCTAACACAAATTTGAGGAGAGGAGGGACAATGAAATTTGTCCAGTTTCCTTATTCAAGAGTGGATCCCACCTTCTGTAGCATTTCCAGCAGAATATCTTGTACATACACCTTCCTGTGAGTAAGCTGAGAGGAGAGAAGAGACTTGATATGTTATGGGCAAGGAATTAAGACAACTTTGATCCAGCTCTCAGAAAGAAATAGACTAAGAGGGTAGAGAACCCCAAAGAGAAAAGCACAACACAAGCTGTGAGAGAAAACTATAGATGCATCACAACAGGTTTCTGTAGCATTTGAAATGGTCCAACAGCAAGTTGGCTCCTACAACATTTTAGTGTGTTTTTAAAAAATAAATGTATTTGACCATGGTCAAATAAGCTCAGCTCTCCTTTTCCAATCAAGTTAAAGCTTCCAAAGTTTTAAAAATAATGAGAACTCGGTCAAATAGATAATCCAGTCAGGAGGTGCACACTGGTATGCTGATATAAAGAAGAAATGTAAATTAAAGAGTCAAAATACAAGAAAATGAATTGCACAGCTAAGTGGAAAGACTACTACTAATGATAAATATCCAAGTAAAGACAAACAAGAAGCATTATACCAAACATTAACTTGAACATCTCGGACAATATAAACACTGCCAGACAATATTATTATGAGATAAGACATTATTAGATAAATTTTATAAGTGGATATAAACTCCAAAAAGGCCTCATGGTTAATGAATAAGTTAATGGCAATAGCAACAGCAGAACCTAGAAACTGTGACTCTACACTTCCTGATCCATTAGTTCAGCTTATCAGAAAGGAAGGTACAAGAGAAAGCCTAGAGAAACCATAGCAAAAGACCAAAAAAACCTGGAAGTTTAAACAAAAAATAACGAAAGAGAAAATTAAAATCAACAGTTTTTGATACGCAAACTTGCACATTATATATAATCATAGTATAACATTAACATATGGAGCTTAAATTTCAATTGCTCTTTCCTTTAGCTACGTATTAATGCCCTAAAGCAAGGGCTTTCAGCATACATAAAAAAGTAAGCCAACTTATGGACCTAAAAATTAGATATTTTTGAACATGCCTTCTTCACGTTCTTAAGTTGTAATAATGCTTTTGATTAAAAAAAAATCTTTATTGCTACCAGTAATACTAGCTTTTGATCCTCTCTTTGTTTTCTTTTGTGTGAAATCAAGGGGATATTTTGTTGCTAAAGTCATTTTCCCAGCTTAGATGTTACTGTCAAGAACTATTCCTGTGGGACACACTTAGCTTCCACCAGCCAACAAGAATAGGAATCCCTGAATAATTCGTGAAAACTGCAACATATCAGAGCAATTGGTACTGGTCCAACTATAACAAAATAAGCTTAAAATCATAAAGAGTAAGCTTAAAGTAGCCAGCTCTCTTTAGTCAGTAGAAATTGTTGCACTACCTGCAAACTCTATGTGTTTATATACTTATGTATTATATCTCCTGGGCTGCCCCCAGTACTAAAATCTCTCTTATAAGCCCTGTTACTGAATTTACACAATCGAAAAGATTCATTCTTGAGATAGTATTTTTCAACTTTGATATCAGCAAATGAAGACTTTTTAGCAATATATCTTTTGCCAGCTTTTAGATCTATAAAAATGAAGGGTTTTTTTCCCCTCCCCCTTTAAAAGGTCATACTTATATAACCCCCAAAGAAACTGTGGTGATATACAGATCCTGCAGACTCACTGTTAATAGGGTTGGTGCTTTAACTTTCCTTATATTTCAGAGAGCTTTGACACTAGTTGATCTTGGGACTTGATGCAAGTTGATCAATGGCCCCAAATGCCACTTGACCAAATCAATGTCTAAAACTATTCTCGGAATTACCAGGTTAGTTTACACATTCTATTGTTATTTTTTGTAGTACAATAAAGCTTAATGGCCCCAGGACAAACCTGATGCCTGCTCTGCAGCTCTACAGAGCTACAATCGAGCACCAGTGGAGATCTCACAGCAGAAGCCATGGCCCATATTACTTATGCAATAGGAATATTCTAAACTTTATTGAGCTTTGTACAATAGGAAAAATGTACAGAAGTGTTCTACCCTTGAAATTTCAATTGTAACAGTAACAACTTGGGCACATCCTTTCTATGGCAATTACAGTAAACATTACATCACATTTCATTAACAATTGAAGTTATTTTTGGCCCTAACTTCTTCAAACAAACAATGAAATTTCACACTCCCATCACTGAGGCCTTTTTTTGGTCAAAGCTGCTTTGCAATATGTACATAAACTGATTCCAGCATTCAGACATTGTACTTTCTTTGTGTATAGTTCAATATGAAAATACCTCTAGATACAATTATTGTGTATTCAGAAACTCATGTGTCTTATAGATTGGAATGGTGTAAGGATGTGACCAATACCATTATACTAAAAAGGAAATGGAAAATATTTAATGAAACAGGTTAGTCTCCTAAGAGAGCAGAAGTATTGTGAAGGTGTAACAGTTGCTTGTGGAAAACAATCTGAATTTGGCAGATTAAAGAACTTCTCCGCTTAGGTAGTACAGTCAAAATTGTTGGTCCAAAGTTAGGACACATCTTGGCACTGTACAAAGTGAGAGCGCGTTAACACCCCAAATGGCTCACCACCAAAGAGACAAAACACAGAATGAATGTATAAAGTCACATGAAGAGATAATATCACACACTGTAACAGCAGCATAGACAAGCATTCAAGCCTCTTCCATGAAAGTAGAATTATTTGGATCCTATTGCATCTCTATGACTATCAACATACATGGAATACTAGTATTTAAAACTATTTCAGAGTACGGACTTCTGTGT